ATATATATATATATATATATATAACAGTTAAATATAAGAGGTAAGAAATTTCTAAATAAAGATTTAGAAGTTTCTTGAAACTTTTAAACTGAAACTTGAAACAATAGCAAGTGTTTCTTTAAAAACAAAGACTTTCTGGGTTTAATCCTACCATTCTGCGAATGGTTTTTCCATCATAGTAACTGACAGGTTGAGTATGCGACTGCAAATCATAATACCATTTTCACGCCCAGTAAAATGTACTTGTAGTTTATGCACATTCTAAAGGCTTAACTGTTATGTCTAAAAAGTCTTAGTGTTCTTGCAAAGCCTCAATATCATTCCCTATTCTTTCAAAAGGAGCTATTCCTCTGTCTTTTCTTGGGAACTACAAAACATTAACCATTAATTTCTGTAATATTAACGTGTTTTATAAGTCCCTCAATAAATAAATAATAAACGAGAGAGCAGTGTACGTACTTGTTAAACTTTTTTTTTTACTCTCGATTAATTCCGTTACAAGCTCAGTTTTATTACTCTGATTTATAACCCTGGCACGCTGACGACTAGGCCACGCCCAACTCAACATTTACTCTGTACGATCTTCTTTTCCTAATAGCTCACTCTAGAATGTGACGGAGTATATTAAATGAACAGATGGAATTCCTTTACTAACGGTGTTGGGAATTCATCTATAACGTAGATAGCTGTTTTCTCGGAGATAAAGGAAAACACTGAAAACGACAAAAATCATTAAACAAACAAGCTCTTGGTGGCATTTAGCATGCTCCTTTAATAACCATTAGAATTTTGTGAGAATAAATTGTATTCTTTTTGATGTTTTTACACAATCCTTTGACTATTCGGCATAGATAAGTGGGAAAACGGTTATGTAGACAAACAGATTGGCAGATAGATTAAGATTTTAAACTAAATACATCTTGTGTGTGTATGGTATTCTAATTGTCTTTTACATACCACAGTGAAGCTATATTTATTTAGGATTTGAAAAATATATAGAATTAATGCTACTTATTTAATACAATTCACCACTACAATAAGTCCAGTCTTGTTCTGTCGATCTGCCCTTGCCCAAGGTTACTGGTAAGGGGTGGATTCTCCGAAACCAATATAACTCAGTGACAAGTGGTGAATCGAATGGTAAATAAATCTTTTTTTTAGTAGTTCATTGATCGGTTTAGAAACGCATTGCATGATTTTCCTATTTGTATGTTATCTGGATGAAAATGATTTGGTAGATTCAACTACTGCTGTTAATGTTTAGATGGAAGATGGGTATAATTTCAAACCAAACAACTTGACACAAAACTTGAGGCATAGCGTTAAAATATGGGTAATAATAGTATTTCTTTATAGATATGGTGCATATTCATCACATGGGATAACGTCTGTAAAATTTTAAAATCTCAGAAAAAAATAGTAGTTGCCTTTCGGACATGAAACACCTGCCATAAAAACATTACGTGAAGTTTTTAACATAAAACATTTTGAATGAAGTGTTGTCGAATTACATTTTAACATCATATTTTAACGCACTACATGTAAAATATCTGCTCACAATAGTAAAGCATACTTGTCCTAATTCAGACATGAAAAACATTAAAAACAAAAATCAATAAGTAGCTGAAGGAACTACAATGTAGTTAACAGTAGGAAAACGGCCATAATACTTCAGAAAAAAAATGTTAAACATACTCAACGTTTCGCTGTACGTTTTTCTTCGGAAGTGCTCTCCACAAAATGTTGAGAAAAAGATAATATTTTTCTTGAAGTCTTGTGGTAATTTTCACACTGTTTATTTACAAACTTTGATCAAACATGATTCTTGAAGATATCTGGAAAAAAAAAGTTGCCCAAATTTAGATATAATTAGCATTGGTAATTAGCATACGATAGAATTAGCGCTGGTATTCAACATTATAAAATATATGATATAACTAGCATTGGTATTTAACATTATAAAATATATGATAGAAACAGTGTTTGTATTCAAGATTATAAAATATGTGATAGAACTATTGCTGGTATTCAACATTATAAAATATGTGATAGAACTAGTGTTGGTATTCAACATTGTAAAATATGTGATAGAACTAGTGTTGGTATTCAACATTATAAAATATGTGATAGAACTAGTGTTGGTATTCAACATTATAAAATATATGATAGAACTATTGCTGGTATTCAACGTTA